GTTTCAGCAGTTTCATCGGAAACTGTTTCAATGTCTAATATCTTGGACTTTATGCCTTCACCACGATAATCGAAATACTGAACCAATACAGGAATTAATTTAGTTGCTCCATGATTGCTAGCATCACAAGAGACACTAACACACGATATACTTTTCAAATCATCTATAATCTTCATTGAAGAATGAGGGCTTAAAACGCCAGTCACTATTGCAGTTGCTTTTGTTCTGCTACACGTCATGTCTTTTGCGATCTGTGAATCGCTAAACATAACTTTATTTAACTGCAACGTACAGTCTAAAGAGTTAAAAGACATATGGTGACGAATTGTGTGATAAGCTGCAGCCCCTTCAGCAGCGACAGTCTTCTCATTAATTGACGATTTCTTTATAAAAATGTCTAAGGCTTTAGAAGTCCCTACTTGGGATTGTAATCTCTTCTTATGCTTGGCTGTTTTCTGATGTTCCTCAATATCTATCGCACCTCTACTGGCTATAGATATACTAGATTCACAAATACAACAATACACTTCAGAGTCGGATTTGCCGCGTTTGAACGAGGGAAACCTTTTTCCTAAAGCTTCATTGAAAGTGCATTTTCGTTTCGGCATGCTTTAGAGGAAATATTGAACTTATAAACACAATTCTACAGCTGAAACAAAAGAAATTCCGGTAAAAAGCGAGGTCATAAATTAGAAATTAACACATTTACAAGTTTCTTTCTACTTTAATTTGTATTCTCTGAATAAATAATACCAATAATACAATATGATAATAAACACTATAATAAAATCATGAATATTTTTAAATACCTTACGTTAGTGTAGCTTGTTCATTTATACAAACAAATTACAACTAAATAATAATCTGACTGGATAGCTAGCTCTGTATGTCTAATGCAAGAAAGGGACGGAATAGTAAGCACTGCGCGACCATAGTAGAGCGAAAGAAATATCATCAAGTGGCACGTTGCGCCTTTGTTTTGAAACAGCACGGCAGCGCGGCAACGCAATTAAAGTCCTTTTCATGAAAGAAGTCCCCCAGACGCAGCGCTGTATTCGCGCGACATAATGTTGCCAGTTATGGGGAAAAAAATATACATATTTCCCGAATAAGTATTTAGGTAGAGTCCTTTTCATGAAAGAAGTCATGTTACGAACCTGAATACAACCTCAACCACAACCTCCTTTTTTTACTTTATGGTAGATTTTGATACATACGTTGTCATAGTGATATTTTGATTGATTATAATTTTAAAACCTATGTTAAACAAAATACAAGAAAATACTGAAAATTATTCTTTTATTCAATATAATCAACACCTACAATGTCGAGTATCAAAAGTAAAATGCAGGAATGGCTTCGAGAAAAGTCTTTTATTCAATATAATCAACACCTACAATGTCGAGTATCAAAAGTAAAATGCAGGAATGGCTTCGAGAAAAGGGAGTATATTTTGAAGACACCTGGACAAAAGCTGTGCTGCTTGAGCTAATCAAACAAAATAAAGGTCCACCAACATATGCTGTGGATGAATTATTGAAAGCTTACAACCCGATTGAAAAAATCTGGAGCCTTGTAAAAAGAAAGGTGGCAGATAAGAACGTGGCCCAAAATCCAAAAGAAATAGTAAGAATAACTGAAGAGGCCTTTGAGTCTATTACGGAGGAAGATTGGACAGCTCAGTGCAAGCATGTGGAACATTTGGAGGAGCAATATTTGCCGGTCTAATGGATGAAGAAATGGACCGAATGATCATATCAACGGCTAGTGATAGTGAAACAGAATCTGATTCTGTTTCCATCCATTCTTCGGACAGTGATATTAGTATGACCGCTGATCATAACTATTCAACTATATAAATTTATTCAAAGTTTTAATGATCCATCGACTCCCCGATGACTCTGAGACGAACATTCCTGGCTCCTCCTCACTTTGCCAACAACTTTTTGTATGATAAGTATTGTGTATATAGGTCTCATCTAAGTATACGATAGGTCTTTTTTCCACAGTGCGATTTCTTCGTATTTTATCCAAATATCTTGCACGCCATGCGGTAATTTCATGACGTTCCATAAGTAGTTTACGTTTGGATTGGCATCGCTTGTACTTGAAACCAATCCTATTTAATATTCTGTGCAATGTTGTAATGCTTCCCTGAAAATTGATGTCTTCTTTCAAAGCGGCCCGTAATTTACCCAATGTAGGTAATTCCTTCTTCACAACATAAAAACTGTGAATTTTTTGCCGGATGGCGCACAAATCGAACCCATCCAAGTCGAACTTTTTCGGATGCGGGCGACTCTTCCCCGGGGTGACAATTTTTTTCGAAGAACTCGCCGCTGTGATACCTTCTTTTGTGATTCTTGTTACAGTTTTCTCTGACACACCTGCAATTAAATTATGAACAATTTATAATAATAAGTAATTATAAGTTTAAAATACCTATTTTATTTCGTTATTATTATATGTATAGATTACATTTTTAAATTTAAGTTACCCAGCTTCATCACGTGTTATTTACTTGTTAAAATTTGTCTTTGAAATAAAAAAAAGTTCATATAATAAAACTCCAATCAATACGGCAATAATTCATAATATGGCAACTCTAAAAAAGTACCTGTTATGGCGGCGACTCTCTTGCGAACATTGTTTAGTGGTATTAGAACACCTTGGTTCTTTTGTTCCGCTTCACAGAACTCTTTCACTTTTAGTATCATTTCTCGAGCCGAACTTTTTACAACTTTTGGCATTGTGAACACACCAAAAAACGCACTTATTGAATTAAAAACTTACAAAAATCTACCACAACAAACGAACTTTATAACATCGATGAACGACAACATGGCCGATCTGTCAAATTTAGTTCCACAAATCACCGCGGGACTTCTTTCATGAAAAGGACTCTACTTGCGACCGTGAGGCCGCTCGTAACGTAAAAATTTGAGAAGAGGCGCGCGAATTTTAAAATTTAAAAACCCAGGACGCTGCTTAAAAACTATTCAGGACGTCCCAGGACACTACAAAAACTAGGACATGTCCTGGGAAAACAGGACGGTTGGCAACCCTTAACCCTTATAATGATTATAGAATAAGTATAAAACATTTTTGGAAACCACAACAAGCAGATTACATTGTACACAATATAATGTCAAACAAATAGTAGGTATCTGTTAATGGAAATGTTTTAATTAAAAATGTGTTTAATAACTTACTTTGTTTTTATTTTTATGTTGTTCATGCCGTGGATTCCAAATTATTCCTTCATGTCGATACAATTCTATGAATTGTAAAACCTCATTGCTTGTCCACACCGGCGCCGCCATCGCTATCGGAACATGGGAACATAAATTTCACTCACGCGCAACGATACTGTCTCCGCTGACGAGTAACAACGAACTGAACAAGACACCAACGTGTGAACGCTGTTTGCGGAGCGCGCCAAGATCCTTCGATGTGTGCACATAAAACCGACACTATTCGGATGGCCTGCCAATGTTGGCGCCAACTAGACCAATTAAGCCAACATACCGCCAGGTAGCTCTCTACACGTTGGCCCAACACCTTGGCCCCATGTGTACAGCGGGCTTAAGGCCGGCTCCACACGTGGGTCCCAACGCTCGTACCAACGTTGGACTGCAAACTCGGTGAGGCGTACACACGTTGGCTAATAAACTAGTTCTGTCCCGTCAGGGCCAACGTGAAGATGTCCGATACAGAAATCGAAACTGCTCTGAGCGCGTTTATAGTGATGAGTGCACAATATTTGTTGCTGAGAAAAAATAAAAAGCCACGTCAAAGAAGATGGTGGATGACGACACATCATAAAACACGGAATCAGTGAGTAAAGATCTCTTATACACTTTACCTACTACTATATTTATTACACACACCTATTACAGTTGTTTACAGACGCTGTAATATTAAAGTACCTATTTATTCTATATTTATATTTTCTTTCTTTTTTAGGTATGATGGAACCCTATTATTGAGTAATTTGATTCAAGAGCCATCAGGACAGTTTGATAACTTTTGTCGTATGTCTTCGATAGATTTCGAATACCTTTTACAGTTGATTGGACCAAAAATAAAAAAGCAAGATACAATATTCAGAGACTCAATACCAAGCAAAGTACGCCTTGCTGTGACACTTAGATTTTTAGCGACTGGAGATTCATTCAAAAGTCTTCATTACCTATTTAACCCAGCATTTGCACTCAGCCACTTCCCTTGCCACTCGCGTTGCCGCGAATGTTGCCGCGGCAGCGTCAACGCGAGTGTGTCGTTTACATTCAGCCCTCATACTTCTTTGCCGGGCGACTCGCAACCATGGCTGACGTCGAGGTTGTTGCGGCGACAGCTGTATGTCTACTTAGTTTATTGAATTATTTTAACGTTTTAAAAAGAAATCGGAAAAAAAGACGCTATCGCCAAAGAAGATGGTGGATGAAAAAAATTCATCTGAATCGAACGACGTAAGTACTACTATAACTACCTGTAAGTGCATACACTTTTGATAATAGTTTAATAAATGAATTCATGATGATTATATTTTTGTTACAGAAACAGCATGAATATTTTTTTTATGGAGTTGACTTCCGAAGATGCTGCCGAGTTTTCTAACTTTTGCAGAATGTCACCTTCTGATTTTAAATTCTTGTTACATAAAATTGAATTTATGATTGAAAAACAGCAAACGAGACTGCGAATGCCCATACCAGCAAAAATACGTTTGGCAATAACGTTACGATATTTAGCAACGGGGGATAGTTACAAAAGTCTCCACTACTCATTCAAGGTTTCTACACCAGCCATTTCGTTAATTATTCCTGAAGTATGCAAAGCTATCAACTCTGTTCTCAAGGATCAAATTAAGGTGAGTAACACAAGCACTTTTTATGTTTTATTGTATTAAATTAGGTATACAAATGATATAATCAAAATACACTGCGCATCACATCACTAACGAAATTAAACAATCTAAACGAAAAAAATAATAGAATTCAATTCTGGGTAGCGTTCCAGTAGGCTCTTTCAATCACATTCATTTGGTTTTGAGGTGTAACACTTCTTTCGAATCTGGGCTGTACTCTTGGTTCCAAGATATTATATTGTGTTGATGAAGTTTGTGGTATCACATGGCTTGGAGAAGCTGGTACATTCATTTCTGGGATACTGATCTCTACTGATGAGTCAGACTGTACCGTTGGTTGCATGATATAAACACGTTGAGATTGTTGAATCGGTGGGTTTAATGTGACTTGGTAATCTGAATACTGTGATTGCGATGACGTTGAATGATTTGAGAAGACACTTGATGATCGATCAACTTGATGGTTGATGGTGGGCAGGCCCGGTCTGGCTCCATTGGAGGCCCTCGGCTAGATGGTGATTTGAGGCCCCCCCCCCCCATAACATAAATAATTATTACATAAAGAAGTTAAAAAAAAATTGTGTTAACCGTAGAAAGACGACAAAAATTCCTACCATAGTGATAGTAGCCTTATTAACGATTGCCTAGCCTATCCCATCAGTTTTCTTTTAAGTTCGTCACTACTACTGGCCACGACATTAATGATTTCTTCTCTGTCGATGTCAGAAAACAAGTCTCTCTCTATGTTCATAAAAATAAGGCTAGACATAAGGTCTTGGCCTAAACTAGCCCTAAGACGATTCTTAATTATTTTTAACTTCGAAAAAACCCGTTCACATGTAACCTGTGTACAGGGTATCGTTAGGATAAATTTATAAACTACATATAAGTTAGTGAACAATCCTGATCCAGAGAGTTCAAAAATAACTGAGAAGGCGCATGACAAACACTTGAAACATTTTTTACTGTCATTGCAGAAACCACGAAAATTGTCTTCTTCTGATTCAGGTTCCGAATCGAGTTCACGGTCTTTTAAAATTTCTTCTGCTTTGTTTGATTCTTCGTCTGGGATCTGTTCATCTTGAGTTTTTACAACTTTTATGAAACTTTTGTACTGATCTGCAAATTGTTTAAGTTCTATTAATAATATACTTCTTTCAACATTGCAAAGTTTTGAGATACAAGAGAGGACTCCAGCCGGAAAGTCTTTTGTCGTCATTATGTCATTAAATTTTCTTGGATTTAACCAAGAAAGGTCCTCTAAAATTTCTCTGTTGGGGCAAAATCTTTCTTCTATGCTTATTCTAGCACAGTCTAACATATTGAAAAATACATGCTTGAAATGTTGAGCTGCTGATATTTCAGGAGCATCATCACTGGATTGTTCCCCAGGCATTCGTTTTTTCTTTGAAATTCTTCTTTCCGTAAAGTCCAATTGTAATTCCAAATCAATATTGCTATCTTCCAATTTACTGTTAACAGCAGTCGCATACTCTTTTGTTTTCGTGTACAAAAATTCAAAATGTTTGTCATTTCTTTTTTCATTGATCTGTTTAAGTAGTGTTTGAACCAAATCCCAAGCAATAGCGTAGTCCAATGTTTTAGTTTGCAAATATTTCGAAACAGGCGTTATAACAAGAAACATATCTAGTAAAACGAATGAAATAAATAGGTTTTCAAATTTCGCCCATTGACTTGCCAAATTTCTGGCCATATATCTGGATTTGCAATCAAAATTACCATCAGATATTTCTTTGAATACGGTAATGACGTTAGTTAATTTGTCCGTGGCAATTTCCCCGCTCCTTAAAACACTTTCATCAATTATCGATGACAGAGCCTTATGTTTACTCCACCACCTAGTGGCTCCTATTTTTTGCAGTCTATAAAGTTTGTCGTGGGCGGTATGTTGTTTTTTTGTTTCTTTCTCCCACACTTCCATTCGTTTGTAAGATGTACTCAGAAAAACTGCAGATTCCTCTACCAATCCAAATACGTTTTCTGCTTGAAGAAACTTTACTGTCGAGTCAGCTACTACTAAGTTTAAGACGTGAGCCATACAGTGAGTATAAATCATATTTTCATTTGCCTTTTTGAAGTGAGCCTGTAAGCCATTGTAACACCCTTTCATATTACTTGCCCCGTCGAATGAACACGCAACTATATTTGATGCTTGAATTCCGTACTTTGCTAATTCCGATGTTATTCGCTCGTACAATGCTTGTCCACTAGAGTCATCAATAACAGTCATCTCTAGTAGCCTTTCATAAACCTTTCCTTGGACAACGTAGCGTACGCATATAGCTAATTGGTCCATCACTGCCACATCTTGGGTAGAGTCTACCATCACGCTGTAAATAATACTATCTTTGAGGTCTTTCAATATGATATTACGTCCAATTGTAGCAATCGTTTTAATTAACTTGTTTATAAACGATTTGGACAAAAATGTGATCAAAGAGCCTCGCCCGTACTGTCTTTTGGTTGACTTTCCGACAAGTTTTCTTTTCTCAATTGTTTTTTGTTTATGTTTCTTACTCTCCTCAATGCACTGTTTCACATGGTTTTGTAAAATGACGTCATAGTTTGCAACCATCATGACAAGTTCGAGAAAATTACCATGATTTTCTACAGAGTCAAGTGAGTAGGCCCCTTCTGCTTTGTCCCCTCTGTAAGCAATGCCTTGTCTACCCAGAAATAAAACTATGTCAATCAAACGATGAACAACTAATCTTCTTGTGTGAACTTCTCTTTCCCGTTGTTTAGATTGGTGTCCCGCTAGAAGACTCTCAATATCACGACCTTTTAGGCATTGAAAAGCTGTCTTGGCCGCAAGTTCATGATAATGGGAGTTTTCATGAGTTTCCAGCGATTTATAAATGTGTTTTGGTGTAACATCATGTCCAGTAATAAATGTGGAATCTCTGTTATCCTTGCCTCCGAAAGCCATACAACAAGAACAATATACTTTGTTGAGCTCAATGGAATAAGATAACCATTTTCTGTGTATTTTTTCTCCATTCGGCAAAAGACGATAGTAGAGTTTGGATGGATCAAACGGAAGTTTAACTCCTTTTCCCTCATGAACTTGGATTGGATGTTTTTCCATAAAAGCTTTTTTTATTCCAATGTGATCACTTTCATTTGGACATATGAAACAACCAAGGTTTTTCTTAGAAGCATCAAGCGTGTCTTGTTTAGATTCTTCATCGCTGATTTCTGAATCAGAGTCAGAGCTTATTGACGAATCCCTGTCGAAATGCGTCAACGACGGTTTGGGGTGGTCTAGATTTAGGTCTAGAAATTTTTGATTGCTAGTAGTAGTTTCTTCCCTCTTATTTTCACTCCCACCAGACGATGTAGCTACAGTAGCCTCTGCTTGGATTGAAGGAGGCTCAATTTGATCTTCGTTTCCTGAAAATAAGTAATAACATCGTGGGTGCAAAATAATACGAAATACAGTAGTCTTATACAAAACATCTTAAACAATTATTCTGTTTACATTAGCCTTTTAAAATAATTTAATCTTACAATCGTAGGCGTGGCAAATGTCCCCAAAACAATATAGAAAACTAAGTATTATTAAAATTATTCATAATAAACTTTAATAACGGTCATGGAAATTCGGAAAGTTAAGCATTATAATAAGACTAGCTTCTGCCCCTAGCTTCGCCCGGGTGGATTTCGGTTATATCGGACTCCTTCAGGAACATATAATTTTTCCTGAATAAAAAGTATCCTATGTGTTAGTCCCGGTAATAATCTACCTATGTGCCAAATTTCATTGAAATCGGTTCAGTAGTTTTTGCGTGAAAGAGTAACAAACATCCATACATCCATACTTACAAACTTTCGCCTTTATAATAGTAGTAGGATTGGCTCTCTTATAGAGCTGAAAATGACGTCGGGTAAATATCAAATAAATGAACACATCTTCAGGCTTAAATGAATGAAAGAGAGCACTAACAACGGCAAAAACTGGAGGAAACTATTTCAGAGTGCATTTGGGTAAAGTTGAGAGAGGTGAGGGGTAGAGGGGTGGGTAGAACTGGGAACAATCCGAGTCCGAAATTCACTGATAAGATGCGATGGCGTCCGCGTCGGTGGCGATGCGTAAACATCCTGTCAACTAAACGGAAGGTCATTCACCTGATTATGGATCTGTTGCAAAGTATATTTATGAAAATTACCATCAATTTAAATTTTTTTACAGTATTTATGATTCTACACTAAGGTATCAATAAGTTTTAATTTGTATTTAACTTATAGCTGCAATAATATGTAAAGGCCTATTCTTAAAATTGCTTTAAGTCTTAAATTTAAAAAATATGACCAATAGTACCTAGTTTTTATACAACAACAATAGTTAATGATTTAAGGGAGTTTTTGCCATACCCAGTAAAAAAGAACGTCCGATTTTTTTATATTTTGAATACATCTATGTATGAATCACATTTACTGTTTATCACACATTTTACTCCAAAAATTTACTTTAGCAACAAATACAAACAATCAAAAGTATTTTAAGTTAAGGGCTTATATGCTCATAAAAATCTTCTGATATTTCCGCCTACCTGTTTGCGTTTTTTCAATGTTTTCAGGATTGGAACTGGAACCAGCTAACCATAAATTCAAACTTTGTGAACTTTGTTTTATTTCGAAAGATTTCCTCTCCTTCTTTTTTCTTTTACTTGCACCACTTGGGTGCACACGTTTCATTTTATAAACTGAAAAATTCACCTTTAAATTTCAAACAAACTCACAACGCACATCAACTCACCGACAGCAGGTCAATTCAACTGACAGCAAACAGCTACGACGCGACATGCAGGTGCGCGCGGGGGGGTGACCGAGTACTTCGAGCACCGAGCGACTTACTATTACTTTTTTAATATACCTAGGTTAACCTTAGCTGTAATTTAATAAAAAGTAGGTTACTGTTTATTTAAAGCTGTATTACGTCGCTGTGGAACAGTAAAACAAAATAATTTTTTATAATGAAAAAACTTTTGTATACTTGAATTTTTTGGCTTTTGGAGGCCCCCTTGAGCCGGAGGCCCTCGGCGATCGCCGACCAGCCGCCCTGGCCAGACCGGGCCTGATGGTGGGATAAGGATTTTGCAAAAGTAACCCATCTATTTGGTACATAATTGTTCCCCGTATTGACTCGGGATATTTTCGTAATTTTTTAGCTAAGAGTTTCGCATAAAGATCACACTCGTCTTCATTGTTTTCATTTGTATAAGTTCTTTTATCTCTTAGCACTTGGTTCAAAGTGTCTAAAGTCTGAGATATTTTATTTTGAGCCTCATCTATGTGAAGGCTTGGTTTTTTTTTGGCTTTGTTTGGCCTGTTATGTACTGGTGTTGATGATCGGTCTGCCTGTGATGACGAAGGAACTGACTGTGACAGCGAAGGAACTGACCATGACGGCGAATTGATTTGCTGGTGTGATGGTGATTGAAGTGGCGGTTCGACATCTGGAGATTGTGCCTCATCCTCAGTATGAGAATTCTGAAAATTTAAATAAATAATTATACTTTTTTTGTTTCAGTTACCACAAACACCAGCGGAATGGTTAACTATAGAAGAAGGATTTAGAAGGAAATTTCCTCGATGTGTCGGAGCTATAGATGGGAAGCATATTGTAATTAAATGTCCTCCACACAGTGGCTCACATTATTACAACTATAAGCATACATATAGCATCGTACTAATGGCTCTAGTTGACAGTGAATACCGTTTTATTTTTGCTGATATTGGTGGCCACGGACGTATTAGTGATGGAGGAATTTTTCAAAACTGTTTACTCTGGCAAAAAATTGACGCAGGCACTATTAATTTGCCACCAGACGCGCCCTTACCCGGAAGAGAAATTGATGTACCCTATGTATTTCTTGGTGATGGAGCTTTTGCTTTACATAAACATATAATGAAACCCTTTCCTGGTAATCATAATTTTAACACAATGGAACGCACTTTTAATCACAAACTTTCGAGTTCTCGTGTCATTGTAGAAATGTCTTCGGTATTTTAACAACTGTTTTTCGAATATTTAGAAAACCAATCGAGATCGATATAGAGAATGTACCGACAGTAACAATGACCTGTACTTTATTACATAATTTTTTAAAAAACAGTAGAACCTCTAGTAACATTTACGCTCCCCCGGGAACTTTTGATTCCGTAGTAGACGGAGTAAATATTGATGGCTCTTGGAGACAAAATCAAACCAACCCAGACAATTTAGCTATTAGGCCAATAGCGAATGTACCAAGACGCTCATCTAGAAACATTTGTGAAATTCGAACTGAATTTGCGCATTATTTTCATAATTTGAATACAGAAAATAACTAAATATAGTAGTAATAATATGTAAGCTGTAATAATCATCTAATTAAAAATGTTTAATAAATTTTATCAAGTGTTTTAATATTTGAATGAAGTTACCCTTTGTTCCGTGTTAATTGTTTCATCCACGTCATACAGTGGGCCTAAAAATCTTTCCATAGTTTCAAAAGGAAACCATATTGGCTGGAACACATCATCAGCACCTGCTCCGGAACGTATGGACGCTTTCTTTTTCTTTAAGAGTTGTCGAAATGTAGCCATAAGCGATTTCTTCTTCCATTTTAGCTCTTCTATTGGAGTATTGTCCATTTGAGTACTGATGCGATTCCATGCATCGTGTACTTTATGCTTCAATTTATGATTTTTATCACGTGGATCCCATATTATTCTCTCACTTTCGTACAATTCCAAAAACCGTATTAATTTTTCATTACTCCACTCTAGTGGTGGTACCGTAGACATAGTCACAGATATAATAATACTCTAGTAAATGCTGACGTCTAGAAATGGACAAAAAATTAAATGCAAAAAATACGTCCTTCCGCTCAAAACGCCGGGCGACAAGTGAGCGCGAGGGCTGAATGTAAACACACGCTGCCGCTCGCGTTGCCAGTCCTGTGACTCGCGCACGAAAAACCGACAATCGAGGGAGCGCCGGGCAACGCGAGTGGCAGCGGCAACGGCATGGGAAGTATCGTGTTTACACTCTCGCGCTGCTCCCTTCCCTTCCCACTTCCCTGCCCACTCGTGCTGAGTGTAAACGAGGCATAAGATTTCTCCCCAAGTCATATCATTGATCGTGCCGGAAGTATGTAAAGCACTATGTGAGGCATTGCATTCTTTTGTAAAAGTAAGTAGTTAAAATATATAAACATATTTTGTAAAATAAAACCATAATAATAGTAATCAAAAACACGTTTATTGAGAAAAATAATTATAATTGAGTCCTTGCATTAGCATTCAATTGTTATTTTGTATCTGAGAAAGAGTAAATGCCTGAGAGATAATGTCATTTGATATAATTGTCACCTTTGGAGTAGATGTGGAGGTGGATGAACCTGTCACATATTCTGCTTGGCTATGATTTGGTGATACAACTGTATAATCACTATAATCATCAGCAACGTGATATGACGGGCTTGGCATCACTTGAGATGAAGGGGATGGTGTAGGTGCATAACGCACGGAATCTCGGGTAGACATATCGTACGTCTGTGATGAAGGGGACGGTGTAGGTGTAAAACGCACGGAATCCGGAGTAGATCTTACATACGAGTAAGTGCTGCCAGGAGCAGGGCGGTAATGTCGCTTCTGATAAATAAGTTCGTCTATATCGTGCATTATATCCTCCCTTTGTTGCTCATTAAATTTAATAAGTTTTTTCGCCAGTAGTTGACAGTATAAGTCTACCTCGTCCACTTCACTTCGTGGTCGATCGGCAAGATTTTTTAGGACATTTACAGCTGTCTTCATCTGAGCTCGTACTTCCGTGACTTCTAATTCTCGCCGTTTTTTGGCTGACGTGGAACTTCGATTTTGAATGCTGTCTTCGTTATAAAAGCTTCTATCTTGATTGCTGTCTTCATTAGGAAACTCCATAGTCTAAAAATTCAAACACAACAAGTAAATTCCAACCCTTATTTAAATGATTAACTATTACCTACCCTGATATATTTTTTCTGTTTTAGATGCCTCAAAATGAACACGAATGGCTTGAAATTGCTCGAGGATTTGAAATAAGATGGCAATTTCCACGATGTTTGGGTGCTATCGATGGGAAATACATTAAAATACAGTCACCCATTAATAGTGGATCAGAGTTCTATAACTATAAACACAATTTCAGTATAATATTACTAGCGGTAGCTGATAGTGACTACAACTTTTTATTTGCTGACGTGTGTGTGTTCCTAACACATGGACGTATGAGTGACGGTGGAGTTTTTAATGATAGCATGCTTTATAACAAAATATATGGACCTGATTCCCATTTTCCGCAAGACGCTCCTTTACCTGGTCGACATCTTCCTGTGCCCTATGTGTTTGTGGCGGATGGAGCTTTTGCATTATCTAAAAGGATCATGAAACCTTTTCCTGGTACACCGCCAGTTGGCTCACAAAATAGAAAATTCAACAGTCGACTATCAAGGGCTCGTGTTGTGATTGAATGTGCATTTGGAATAATGACATCGGTATTTGGAGTGTTAAAAACCAATATGTTACTACAACCCGAAAAAGCATCTATTATAACACTCACTTGCGTTGTACTTCATAATTTTTTGAAAAAGAGTCAGCACTCCTACCGTATGTACATGCCGGAAGGTAATATAGATAATGTTTTAGAAGAGCAACAATTAAGATCACTAGATCAAATACCAATAAGAACAACAGAAAATGCTAGAGAAATACGAAATGAATATGCATCATACTTTTATTCACACTAAACAAAAAATCTACCGACCTACAAAATTCAAAAATTAAAAACACACAGCCACAGGTCACATGTACCTACGAGTACCTACGTAGGTATGTAATGTTACAGTTGCACTACGAAAACACACTTATTTTAAACGTAGGGCACAAAGGCGTGCTCAAGGTTAAAATGTTAGGTACGTCTAGCCTGTGGTTCAGTGTTTTTTCATAAATTATGTAATTTGTCAGTTTGTGATTTTATAGTAAATAAATAAAGTAAATATTAATCAATGTTTATCTTACCTCTGTGTTAAAAGTAACTGTATTTGATTTATCATAAATCGGAGAAAGAAAGCTATCCATGAGCTCATAAGCGAACCAATTTGGTTTAAAAATATCATCTGTTGATGATCCAGATCGAGTAGAGTCACTAATTTTCTTTCTGTAAAGGCGATATGTGCTCATTAACGATTCTCGCTTTTTTTTTAAATCTTCAATTGAGAAATTCATTCCCATATTCTGTTGAATGGTGCGCCATGCATCAGCTATTAAATTTTTATTTTTGTGGTCCTTTCGAGTTGCGTCCCATATTATTGGATGTGCTTGATAAAGTTCTATAATTTCAATTACTTTTTCATTTGTCCATGCCGGTGGCGATTTTGTGGATGAGGAAGCCATTCTCGCTCGACGTACGCACTCGCTGCGTGTTGTAACAGAACTGAGCAAAGCGCCAACGTGTGGACAGATCGAGAGCGTTGGCGCAGATTCCTTTGATGAAACCGACACGAGCCGGCCAACTACCAACACTCGCCCCAACGTTGGGACCAATGCCATTTTCTAGATCCACACGTTGGACGAATAGCGTTGGGGCCAATATTGGGGCCAACGTGTGGAGCCGGCGTAAGAGTTTTTGATACACCAAACTGCAACCAACGACACCAAAATGCAGCCGTGCATTGTTGAATATTGTTTGCCGGGAGTTAGTGAGAAACTCTTTCACTGTGATGTTGGTTCCCTCCAAATTCTTCTTCGCCTTCCAGACTGTACATCTGAAGTCATATTAAGAGAACTTAACAAGTATAGGCCGATGCTTATTGCTTTCACTGCTCTTGGACGCTCCGAGCCTATGACAAACAGACATTGATGCTTTCGTGACATCTCAGTTTTGTTGTCAAGGATGCAGAACAGTACTACAGTCCTCATCATCTGACTCAGCAACACCCATGAAAATCAGTGCCTTGCGACGGTGCCTGGATTCAACTGCATCAATCTGTGTGGCACACTCACTTATCTGCTTGCGGAGTAGCCCCAACATGCTAAATATAAACTCTCTAAATGTCCGGAACTCCTCAGCAACCTTTGTTACCGTGTCCCTACCAGAAGCTGTAACCTGGATGCATTTTCTTTATGAAGCACTCTTCCAGGCTCTTTTGTGCAGACACAATATTAGAGAGTTGCGGCATAGTGAGATACACAGTGTTTGTTATTATTGCAAATGTGCTCAAAGTGAATGAAAAGCTGGCAGGTGGTGTCAAAATCAGTGGCGCCGTAAAGGGGGGGCGGTGGGGGCGGTCCGCCCCGGGTGCCAAGCATCAAGGGGTGACAACACGGTGACAAAGAAATACCAACTCTGTCACGCAGATAGTAGCCGCTGGCGCATCGCGGGCGGAAGGGGCAACTTATTTCGGTCCCTCCCTCCCCCACCCGTGTCCGTTGCCGGCAACGGATGCCGGTCGCGAAACAATGACAATTAGTTGACGACAGTTGGTCAGTCAGTGTTATTGTTTATAACCGTCGCGTCGCGTTGCGTCACATTAATTCAAACGAAAGTCAATAAATACTAAATATTGTGTAATAAAGGAGTGAGTGTATTGGCGGATAGTACACAGAGTTTAAAAGGTGAATTTTATTTGAACTATACACCTATTTTTTCCCACATTAATTATATATGTATCTAGTTAAATTATAGGTTTCGGCCGATCTGAATTTAACATTCTGTTGACAGTATAAATTGTACGTATAATTAATTTATCACGACGATGTAAAATGAGCAGTATAACGTTATATTTAATTCATGCATACAAATGGCCGAAACCCGCCATAATAGGCCGCCGCCTATATAGTTCCTCGGTATTTCTCTCTCTTTAGCTGCGTATTAGCCACAGCACGATTATTTTATGATGGCCGCTCTGAAATCAGGCTTTCCGCACTTAGCGCATTTACTTTCACTTGTAACAAAACTAATTGATTCCTGAATTTTTTAATTTTCAATCCTATAACCGATCAATATTATACGATTAGTTTTTAGTTTTGTTTTGAGTGTACAGTAAATGCGCTAAGTTCGGAAAGCCTACTTCAGAGCGGCTATCGTAAAATAATCGTACAGTACGTACGGACTTCAATTTGTAGGTATAACGTTATGTCCAATTGTGTATAAAAAAAAAGAAAATATAAGTATTTTTTAAACATGATTTAAAAATGGTTTTGCTTAATATTTTTATAGTTGAACTAAGAATTCAAATTCATCCAACATAATTTGCACTATTATTATTATTTAAAGAAAAGAAAAATACACTGCCGATATACTGCTTGTCTTACTTCTACTATGGTATAATATGATAATGAGCGAGAAAAAACTGACAAAATTAACAAGTATTCCTTTATCGATCTTTACAGAATATAACTTTATTATGAAGAGAAATAGACCTAGTGGATTTCAGCAAAGAAAAATAAAAAAATCAAAAGAACTTGCACGTGAATCGTTATCTGGATCAATTTTGAAATTTGTAGCACCTTCGGCTTCTCTGGTACCAAATACATCACAGCAAAGTGTTGAAAGTGACCTTCTTGATGTAACAGATGATGAAGAAACACGGAGCCAAGATGCATTAGATGAAGGGACGCTGGGAAGAGAGCCTGACAATTTTGATACACAAGATGAAAGACAAGGCGAAGATCAGCACCAAGAAGAATATGACCAAGAAAAAGGGCGAAATAGCGACAATGAAGAAAAATCCCAGCAAATTGAAAACGATGAAGAAAAGGTGCAT